GATTGCCTTAACCTTTTCTGGATTTGGCATTACACCGTTTGTCCAACTATGTGTCCCAAAAATTCTGTTTCTTTTTTCAAAAATTCACATTTGTCTAGTTGTAATTTTAGATTAGCGTTTTTAAGTTTTTCAAAAACAATTTTTAATGAAGTAAGGTGTTCGTCAAGGGACGTAGAGAAAACAATTATATCGTCCAAGTATACAAGGCAATGCTTGTTTATTAATTCACGAAGGACATTGTTCATGCATCGCTGAAAAGTTGCAGGTGCATTTTTTAATCCAAATGGAATTCGTAGTGTCCGTACTTTGTGGAAAACGCTGTTTTGTTTATGGAATTTTGGTCCATTTCGATCTGGTGGAAACCTTTAGCCAAATCAATGGTGGTAAGATATTGACACCGTCCTAGCTTGCCTAGTATTTCGTCCATATTGGGAATGGGAAATTTATCACTAATAGTGATCTCATTTAAGCCCCTATAGTCTACTACAAGTCTAAGTTTTTGTTTACCTGAAGCATCTTTCTTTTTTGGTACTATCCACAATGGACTGCAATAAGGTGATTGGCTGTGCCTAATTATTCCTTGCTTTAACATATCCTGTATTTGAGACTCAACTTCTTTATCAAATGAAAAAGGATACCCATACGGTTTTTTATAAATTGGATTTTCATGATGAGTTTTTATTTCATGCTTAACAACATTCGTAAAGGTCAAATTTTCACCATCACGATATTGAATGCATTTATATTGGTTAATTAATTTTAATAATTTAACTTTTTCTTCCTCATTTAAGTGCTCTAAGCGATAACTTTTTCCCTCTGCTAATTCATTTTGAACAGCGTAATTTATTTCATCAGTATAATTTTTAGATTTTAGCAATGCCTCAAAATCATTTATTTGTGTTGGATTTTTCAAACTAATGTTTTTGTGTAAAAAAATGCGCCCACTAATAGTAGTGCGATTATTTAAATAATCAATACTGGCCTGGTTTGCCTCTAGTAACTTTCCTCCTAGTAGTATGTCATAATTGGAAGAAAAGTCGTGAATATAAAATATTTGTTCTTGAGTAAATAAACTATTAGGTGCAACTTTTACAAATTCATTTAGTTAATAATGCCCTGTCATAGTGCGTATAATTGTCGGATCTTTATGTATGCTCCCGTTCAGAAAATTCTTTTTCATTAAGTTAATTGATGAACCGGTATCGACGAGGCAACGATAATTATGATTATTTATAGTTATTTCTATGTATGTAATTGGTCTGAGGCTTGCATTGGAAAATTTTCATTTTCATTATAAACATCTTCTTTGTACTCCTTATTTTGTTGATAATTTTCGTCTACTTGCATTCTTGATTGTCCACTATTACTTTCTCTGACTCTCTTTTGTGATTGGTTGGGTACTGAGCCCGATAGTCCACTTGGCTGTTGGCTTTGATTCATTGTATTATTTTGCTGTCCCTGAATTAAATTTCTTTGAAACTCTTGGTAACTTCCCCTATTTTGGTCAAAAGTATTATTTCTGTTATTCGATTGGAACCTATAATTTTGTGGAACCATTCTTTGGGGTTGGTTGGGGTGTGGTTGAATTGAAAGAGCTGGGCCAGGATTAAATTGTTGGGTGTTGTACAAATTAGTGTAAGGGTAGGGGTTATAATTTTTATATATTATTTATTATTTTATAATTTTAGGGTGTATAATTTGTTTGTTGATGCTTTTGAATTTTATTAACATTGATGTTATAATGTTTTAAATTTTCATTTTGTTCGTATAGCCCTTCTTGCTGAGCCGCTTGTTTCAGTTTAAGTACTGTTGAAAAATCGCTTCTTGCTAATGTCATAAAAATTCTGTCAGGTAATTTCGTTGTATTAGGTTTTTTGTAGTCCTAAACATTGCTTCTGTGTACAATATTAATTCATTTGGATTTCCTTCAAGTTCTAATTTGTTGCTTATAACTAACTGCTTAAGCTCGATCTCGTTACAAAATTTTCTTAGATTACCTTGAAAATTAGTATTGTATAATCGCCTTAATAGTTCCTCCACAGGTTTTTGCGTTTTGTACTCGTCGATTAGGGCTGCTCTAAGATCTGGCCAGTTGTTGACTTGTAGAACTTGCAGAATCCTCTGGGCATCACCGGTGATTTGAAGTTCAATTGCTCCAAATATAACGCTTGTCTGTCGATCATTGGTTGTAGGATACAGACGCAAAAGGTAGTTAACTCTTCTGACAAAGGTTCCTAGGGTAGATGGATCTCCTTCAAACGTTGGAATATTCCGGATCTGGGACAAAAGTTGATTTAAGTTTTGCTCAGTCAATGGGTTGGGTGCCACACCAATTTGTGGTTGCCCTTGAGCTGGTGGTTGTTGGTCCATTTTGTTGTGTTTAATTAAATCCCACTCAACTTTATTACTGACCGAATTGGATTTATTCAGTAGTCGATTGAAGTTTAATTTATTATAATATTTGTTCAGTGCCTTTAATTTGCCCTTAGGTTCTTTTGCGGATCTCTTAGTTGCACTTCCGAGCTAGTCGAATAAATTGCTTGCTTGTGGGCAATTCCACGCGCTGGTCTGGATATCCTAGTAGTTAAGAAATATCCTTTTAATTGATCAGTAAGCTCCCGACTTTGTTTTTTTTCGCAAGGATATTTTTTAAAGAGATCCTACCGACTGCGCCATTTACATGAGTCGTTATTCACCCGAATAAAAATTGTAGAAGATTTTTTATATTCGTTAGTTATTCTTTATTAGAACGTTGGAAAAAGACTAACTGTATGTTACAGAATTGGTTAGAATGAAACCTTGGCTTGCGTCTTAGAATTTACTGTTAGTGCATTAGGTGACGCAATCGCAGGAGGATGATGCGATCGCCACTTCTTTGTTTATGTTTACATAATTCGGTCTTATTGGATTTTGCGATCTTATTGGATTTTTACGTTTATGGAGTTACGTCATTGTTGACGTTCGGACTTAATCAATTTTCTTTGTTTGTTTGCATTGCGGGATCTCGAGCTTCTGTATCGTTTTTAATCAAAGCCGAAATTGGCGATTCTGTTTATTTGTAAACGGTTTCGATCTTTGAACTGGTGGCCGTTGAGAAATCGCAGTGCAGACACGTCACTATATATATTCTTGATCAGGATCAATACCTGAGTCGATATAGCCATGTCCGGCGTATGAACGCTGAGATCATAAAAAATTTCAAAAGCCAGAACGTTGGAATTAGCATAGCCACGGCCACACCTTAAGACTCCCTAAAATCTGTCTGCGCCCTCAAATATACGTCCTATACGGTTTCTGTAATATTAGATTTTATATGATTTTTCTTGCATAACTTGGATTTATATGCAAGAGTATATAAACTTTGGCTTGCCAAAGTTAGTTTCTATCTGTGTGAAATACTTTTGAAAGGAACATCGAATTATAGCAAATGCTTTAAGTGGTGATTATTTTTAGCAAGAATAAAACCATGCGACATATCACATGGGCTGAAAAGTCCCGGGCCTAACACATAGATGGCGCCACTTTTATTGCAGTCACCTTTTTTACACTTAATACTAATCTTCAAAAGACAACTGTTAAAATTTCATGATATTCTATTCATTAGTTTGTGAGTTATAGTGCTAAGAGTGACGCTACTTTTGTTATTTTCAAAACAATGGACCAAAAACAATTTCGTGTTTTATTTTTACACTGCTTCTTGATGGAAAAAAATACCGTTCAAGCGAAGGAGTGCCTTGAAAAGTGTTATGGGGACTCCGCTCCATCAGAACAACAATAAAACATTGGTTTGCTGACTTCAAACGTGGTCTTAGAGACACCGATGATGCAGAACGCAGTGGACGTCCAAATGAGGCGGTAACACCAGAAAACATCAAGAAAATCCACAAAATCGTTTTGAATGATAGAAAAGTGAAGTTGCGTGAGTAAGCTGACATCGTAAAGATATCATATAAAGATAGCTTTATATTGCATGAGCATTTGACTATAAGAAAGCTCTGTTCAAAATAGGTGCCGCGTTTGCTCACTGTTGAGCAAAAATAAAAATGTGCGTGGTGTAATATTCATCGACTATCTTGAGAAAGGACATACTATCAACAGTGAATATTATACAGCGTTATTGGAGCGTTTGAAGGACGAAATTGCAAAGAAACGACCGCATATGGCGAAGAAAAATATTTTGTTTTATCAAGACAACGCACCGTGTCACAAGTCAATCAAAACAATGACAAAACTACATGAATTGAACTTCGAATTCCTCCCACATCCACCGTATTCGCCAGATTTGGTTCCCAGCGACTACTGGCTGTTCGCAGACCTGAAAAAAATGCTCGCCGTTAAGAAATTTCCCACGAATGAAGAGGTTATCGCTGATACTTAGGTCTATTTTGAGGCAAAAGATAAATCGTTCTACAAAAGTGGTATTGAAATGTTAGAGGGGCGCTGAAATGATTGCATTGCGCTTGATAGATAGATTACGTTGATAACTAAAGCTAGTTTTGAACCAAGAAAGCCGTGTTTTCTTTTATAGGCCCTGGTCTTTTCAGCCCAAGCTCTTTTTTCTAAGACTTACTGCGATTTTTCATTCAATCGATTTTCATAATGTCTGGAAGTGTAAATTTTTTAATTTTAACGAAAACTTATTATTGGTGTACCTCTCGCACTAATCGCACCAATTAGCGAGCAATATATAGTAGTAGCCTTCGCACACTCATCGGGTGCGCATCGTCACTAGTTTTATTGTGTGCAAAAAGTAAAAAGTTTGTAAAATGAATAATCTTCATTTGTTTTTCTAAACAAATTTCATCTCCTTCAAAGTAATCCTGTCCCGATAAAATACAATTATGGCTATGATTTTTTCTAAGAACCGACCAACAACGGCCCGAAATTCAACTCTTTTTAGAGGAATTGCTTCACGCAACCGATGCATAACGCTCAAAAAACATTCCTTATTAACAGTTTGGCACCACAGCACAAAAATCGAAAGCAAATGTCATTATTACCTTAATTTTTGATCCACTTTGACGTGCTCTTTTCGGTTTAGCCTCGCCCTTAACGCGATATTCGCTTAGTTAGTCGGTTGTCTCAAGTCTCATCTCCTATAATCATGCATTTGAGCTTGCCTTGATATGCAGAACGAATTGTTTCACACACATTAACGCGACGACTTTTTGCAAGAAATTAAGCGCTTTTGGTCGAAAAATCAGAAAATGCACTCTTGGTCGTTTGGTAAAGAACAGCGTGAATATATTACTGATAATGACATGACATAGAAACTATAATTACCCTCGAAGAATATGTTGTCCCAGCACTCATGCAATTCGTTAGCCACATACGCGAAAACGAATTTATTGCGTATTGACCTCCAAATTGAATATACAGAAGCCTTCTTAAAGGCATTTACAAACTGTCCAATATCGTCGTCAAATACCAAAAACGACTAATAACAAACAAATTTTGATTTTAATTTAAACGAAAATTGATTTTAAAATTGAAAATTTACCTCACAATGCGTCACCTCAATAGATATAATAATTTTGATTAGAAGGTCATCAAATAAGACATTTTTTTCTTGTAGCCATTTTTTTTTTAATCTCGCATTAATGAAATCATTCCCTTCGTTGTATTGTAAATTTAGAATATTAATTCCCACATAGCTGCTATATTCTGCGCTGTGAAGCAGTTGGAACTCAAATCTATCGTTCCAGAATATACAGATTGTACTTTCATTAAGATATGTTCCCACTGTGAAAGAAGAAGTTTGATTAACTATAACTTTTATTCCCTATAACTTTTATTACTAATAGCACTTAGGACAAGTGACCAACTTTGGTCGATAAGCATTTTGGCATTGCACTTCCAAGTTTGGTAAAGAAACAACGAGCTACTATCGGTAAGCGGTGCAGCCAATTGTGTCTACCAATTTGTAATCGTATTTATACCCGTTACTTCTGGGAATATTCTATTCGTTGTTAAGCTTGTAACAGATTAAGGAAGCGTTTCCAATCCTATAACGTTAATATGATTTTGATCAGGACCACCACCCGTGTCGACGTATCCATTTATCCGTATGAACTAGGAGATCTCGTAAACTATGAAATCTAGGACATTTTTTATGGTAAATGTAACATTTTCACCGAAACCCATTTGTTTCCCCATAACGTTAGAATTTATCTCAGTTTTAAAGATATTGTAAAGTTGTGTAAATTGAAGTAGTATTCAAGGCCGTTTGAGCCGGATAGGACAACTGGCTCTATAGCTCCCATATGAATGATTGAAGAAATAATGAAAGGGTAAGTCAACTTCGGCAGGCAAACATCTAGCTTTCTTTGTTGCTCCAAATTTATATTCATATACAAACAAATTAAGTAATTGAACAATTGTCTTGCATGTTTATTTAAAGTTCAGTTCTTTTAGAAAAACGTGATACTTTCATACGTAAAGCACGCGACATTTATTCAAGAGAAAATTAAAAATAATTCTAAAATAAATATGTCCTTGAATCGCTAAAAAAAATGTGTTTATAACTCATGTCGAAAATGCAGTCAAGTAAAACAGACTTCGTTTTAATTGGCACTTAAAATACTAAATGAAATAAAGCCGTTCTCAATCGGGAAAAACAACACGAAAAAACAAGGAAGAACGCTATAGTCGAGTACCTCGACTATCAGATACCCGTTACTCAGCTAAATGGAGATATGCAAGCAGCAAAGCGAGATTAAAATGCGCCACCTACCGGCGGTATACAGATTTAAGCGTTATGGGCGTTAGAGTGGGCGTGTCAAATTTTTTTTTGGATCAATCGATAGGTATTGACGAGACCAATACATTTCAGTTAAAATTTATCTAGCATGAAAATTGTGGGCGTCACAGGTTTTCGCGGTTTGTGGGCGTTAAAGTGGGCGTGGCAAACTTTTTTTGGGTCAATCCAGAGGTATTGATGAGAACATTACATTTCAGTTAAAATTTTTATTCTAGCATCAAAACTGTAGGAGCCACAGTTTTGGGCGGTTTGTGGACGTTAGAGTGGGCGTGGCACTCTACTGAAACAAACTTGCGCTGCGCAGGAATCTCAGGAATCTGCTTGCATAATTCCAGTATTGTAGCTTTTATAGTTTCCGAGAACTCAGCGTTCATACGGACAGACGGACATGGCTAGATCGACTCGGCTAGTCATCCTGATCAAGAATATATATACTTTATGGGGTCGGAAACGCTTCCTTCTGCCTGTTACATACTTTCCGACGAATCTAGTATACCCTTTTACTCTACGAGTAAGGGGTATAATTAGTGAATCAAATTAGATTAAAACAATAGAGTGCCTCGATAATCAAGTGCCCCGAGTATCAGATACCCGTTATTCAGCTACAGGAAGCAAAAGGGAGATGGAGATATGCAAGCATCCAGGCAAGATTGTAATGCGTGAGTCGAAGAGGGCGAGGCAACTTTTTTAGGCATTCGATGGGTATTGACGACACAAATACATTACAGTTACAATTTTATTTCTATCATCAAATCCATGGATGCAAGTTTTGAGGTCTTTACGGTCACTAGAGTTGGCGTGCCAACTCATAGATATTGCCAGGACCAATATAATTCATCCTAAACTTTTTTGCTAGTACTAAAACAGAGGGCACCATTTTTGGGTGGTTTGTAAGCATTAGAGTGTGCGTGACAAGTTCGCGTAGCATACTTGCGCTGCATACAAAACAAAGGAACGTAAATCTAAAATTTCAACTCTCCAATTTTAGTAGTTTCCGAAATATCAGTGTTCATATGGACGATTTTTGTATGTATGTGGGCAATTGGTGGGCGTTAGGGTTGGCGTTGCAAAATTTTGTAGATTAATCGATAGATATTGGAGAGAACAATACATTTCAGTTACAAAATTTTCTTCTGGGTCTTAAACTTTAGGAGTCACAGTGTTGAACAGTTTGTGGGCGTCAGAAAGAGCGTGGCATCTTTGCGGGACAAACTTGCGCCTGCGTACGAAGACAAGAAATCTAAATCGTAAATCTTAACCCTCTAGCTCTTATAGTTTCCGAGTTCACAGCGTTCACACGGAGAGACAAACAATGTATATAACAATATATATACATCCTAATTGGTTTGGAGACGCTTCCTTTTACCTGTTACATCCTTTTCCCGGATTACAATAACCTTTTACTCCACGAGTAACACGCAACATTTATTTGAAACAGTTCGTCCCAATGTTTTTGATACTTTGAAGACTAGGATGGAAAGTTTTCCATGTTTGGTGTAGTAATTTATTGGTAAAGTCCTTTTATATAATTTAGCGTTTAGTTTTTGGCGGTACTACTGACCATTCCGAAACCTGTCGGCTTGAAATATTTTCAGTTTTTGTGATACCTTTCGATTCTCGCTATGATCGGACCATCACTGCAGATTTTCAGTCCTGTGGCTATTTATAGTAATCGACTTCGGCCTGCGGTCTACAGGATATATATATATTCTTGATTAGGATCACTAGCTTTGTCGATCTAGCCGTGACTCTTTGTATGTCTGTCCATATGAACGCTGAGATCTCGGAAACTATACAAGCTAGGAATTCTTAAGCAGTGCAAGTCTGTTTCATTGGATTTCCACGACAATTTGGAAGCCCATAACGCTAAAGTCTGTGCGGCGCCTAAACTTTTAAAGATTTTCCTTTTTTTGTAAATTAATATTGACTTTTTGATAAATACCAATATTAATGCAGCATCACTAGCCGAGTCGATCTAGCAATATCCGTCGGTCTGTCTGTCCGTGTGAACGCTGTCATCTCGGAAACTATATGAGCTAGATGGTTAGGATTTCATTTTTATACTCCTTTTCTTCATACGCAGCGCAAGTTTGCTACGCGAACGTGCCACTGGTCCTCTATTGTATTGTTCTCGTCAATACCTATTTATTGACCTAAAAAAGGTTGCAACGCCAACTCTAACGCCCAGAAACCGCCCAAAGTTTTCACGCTAGAAAAATAGTTTTAACAAAAACGCATTTGTCACGTCAGTACCAATCGAATGACACAAAAAAATTGTAGCCACGCTCACTCTAACGCCCATAAACCGCCCATAAGCTTCAAAAAAACGTCCACATAAAAGCTTATATCTCGGAAGCTATCAAAGATAGAGGTGTAATATGCTCGGATTTTTTATAGTAATAGTCCAAATTTAATTTGATTATAAATATTTATTTAGAGAGCTACTCTACAGGCGCTTCTCTGTTTTTCATATATTTATATATGGGCATATCCACAGGACGCGAACGTACCTTCGTACGCACTTAGTGAAAATAAAAAAACAAAACAAAGAAAGAACGCTATAGTCGAGTACCTCGACTATCAGATACCCGTTACTCAGCTAATGGGACCAAAGGAAAATGGAGATATGCACGCAGCAAAGCGAGATTAAAATGCGCCACCTACCGGCGCTAGATAGATTTAAGCGTTATGGTCGTTAGAGTGGACGTGGCAAATTTTTTTTGGATCAATTGATAGGTATTGACGAGACCAATACATTTCAGCTAAAATTTTTTATATAGCATGAAAATTGTGGGCGTCACAGGTTTTTGCGGCTTGTGGGCGTGGCAAACTTTTTTTTAGGTCAATCGATAGGTATTGATGAGAACAATACATTTCAGTTAAAATTTTTATTCTATCATCAAAACTGTAGGAGCGTCAGTCTTGGGCGGTTTGTGGGCGTTAGAAGCTCAGGAATCTGCACGCCAAATCTCAATAGCCTAACTCTTATAGTAGATCTCAGCGTGCATCCGGAAAGACAGACGGACAGACGGACATGGCTATATAGAATAGCTAGAATATATATACTTTATGGGGTCGGAAACGCTTCCTTCTGCGTGTTACATACTTTTCGATGAATCTAGTATACCCTTTTACTCTACGAGTAATGGATATAATAAACGTTTTCTGAATTTTTTATGCTATTCGATAGCATATTTTTAGCTATTTGCTTAGTGTAAATGATGGGATATATTGAGCTATCGTTTTCAAAATATTGGCAAAAAACATGCGGTCGCGAACGTACGCAAAATGGAAGTCGAATTGGGCTTAATCTAGTAAAATGCAATAATCTGCGAGTTGGGACGGAAAATTTTAAAGCAATAACTTTACTTTTAAAATGGATTCATGTAGCTTTCTATCGAGCCTGTTCCCAAGAAAATATCTCCATTTGTTTCTTTTTTATTGAATTAAGTGCCGGTCGCGAACGTACGGTTCGCGATCGTTCGATTTTTCCATGTTCTTTTATTAACAGTAAATTCAACATTGTTTCGCCCTCTTCGGATTTTTATCTTCTTATTAGATTGGAATAAATAGAGATTTGGTAGAAAAAGTGCAACAACATCATATGTTTTCCTTGCGAAATAATTAATTATAAACATGCCTTTAAAAGTAGCTAAAAATGAAAAACGTAAATTTTTTTAGTTTTCAAGGAATATGCTTTTCTTGCACTGTACTATGAAAATATGAGTTTTTTTGTTTTAGTCCTGGTTGACCATTTGGCGGATATGCCCATATGTGAGTGTAGCCGGGCGGCATAAGAATGCTGACCATGCATTTATACCTTATGCGCCTAAGTGGTGGGTCATATAACACTTGAACTGAAGTTGTAGTTGATATTATTTATTACTGTACTTAAGTACAGTACAGTACTACATATACTACATCTCCCTTCTTTTGAAAATCAACGTAATTTTATGACGATTTTTTAATGTTTTGAGTTGTTTGTTTTTGTGTTGCTTATATTTATTTTAAAATAAAGTTTTTGAAATATGTACGTTAAAATGTTTATTGTAATTTTTATACCCGTTACTCGTACAGATTCCTGATCTTCTTACGCAGCGCAAGTTTGTTTCAGTAGACTGCCACGCCCACTC